CTCTGGGCTCAAGCCTCCACTCGCTCTCTGGGCTCAAGCCTCCACTCACTGTCTGGAGCCAAAGCTTCCTGAAGCGGCTGGGCTCAAGCCTCCACTCACTCTCTGGGCTCAAGCCTCCACTCACTCTCTGGGCTCAAGCCTCCACTCACGCTCTGGCGTCTGCGTGGAGACCAGATCCACGCCACCCCAAAGAGACCACCTGATTCCAGCAAGTGGGAGAAGGTGGGGGAGAGGAAGAATAATGACCGTTTTGAGCAAGGACACGGAGTAGTGGCCTGGAAGCTAGAAGAGCTGTACTCTGACGGATGCTGTTTGTGTGATCCTGGTGCACCACTAGAGCTGGTAGCGCCCCAGGCAGCTCAGAGAATTAGAGAGTGGGTGTCAACTTGTGTCGGTAGAGGGGCCTTCCTCATCTGGAAGTTGTCTGCAGGTACCAGTGAAATCACAAGTCCGGTGCCGATGCATAAAAACTCCCATTCTGTCCTGCTCTGAGGTCTCCAAAGTGCCTTCCATAAAACAGCCATGGAGCGGAGGTAGCGCACACTCCCTTTTACAGGAGAGAGACTCAGAGAAATTGTTTTGTCCAGGGCTGCACGCCTAGCAAATATTGAAGCCAGGGCTTTAACCCAAAAGTTCTGATGCCAGAGCAGCGCCCTGCCCGAGACGGCAGCGCTCCGGCCCCTCCACACCCTCCCGTTCCACTGAGCGCAGGGGCCCGGCACAGAATAAAGACATTCTTGTTCATCCATTCTACGTAACCTCAGAAGCAGCAGAAACAACAATCACAACAACAACGGTGTGAAATTCTAACATCGACACCCACAAAGCAATAGAGGCTCTTCGTGCCCGGGCTGCCTTAGTCTCCCTAGCTCACATGGATCCGAGCAGCCACAGTCGGACAGGCCGTACCTCGACCCCGACAGTGACGTCATTTTGCTCCTCTTTCAGCAGGAAGGACAACAGCCAGCCAACCGCCCCACTGATCTCTGAGCTACAGTACGGAACAGAGATCTTTCCGAATGCGGAGAGGGAGCGGGAGAAGTCAGGATCCGGGGGTGCTGGCTGAGGGGGCCATCCCATCCCCCCCAGGGCTCTGCCAGTCACTGGAGTCATCCTGACGATGGGGACGCTCAGCTCAGCCCCCAACACCTTCATTCAAGTACAGAAAGGGATGATTTTATCTTTCCATGGCTATCCATATACCTTACAATATCCACCTATTTGATCCATCAGAACACGAGATACGAAAGGGGAACCGAAAAGTGACTCCTTTCGGGAATCCTTTCTATCTGAACTCCATTACAAAAGAGGAAAGCAGATGAAAACAATAAGAATACAGGCCGTGGCTCTCTAGGGTTGGAGAAACATTTTACACACAAAATTTTGGAAGATCCTCCCAGCAATCCTATCCCAGCCATCCTGAGGTAGGTGCTACTATTATCCCCATAGTACAGAAGCAAAAACCGAGGCTGAGAAGATGAAGCAATTTCCCGGGGACACAGAGCTAGGAGGTGTTGGGGGTTCGAATCCAACCTAGGTTTTCTTGACTCCAAATAGAACGCTCTGTCCACGAGGCTGCTCCTCTCAACGACTGCAGTGGGAAACGCGTGAGAAAAACCGTCCACACTCTCGGCTGAGCTAAGGTCTTAGCAGAGGCACCTCTGTGAGCAATACGCCCGGAGGGAGGTTCTGGCTGACAGTGCTGCTGATAATCAGAGAATTCACTCTCACTGAAGAAATTTCCACAGCACATTTACAGGAAGCGTGAGACAAAAGAGGAAGGAATTTGACGTTGAGGAAAGCACAGAAGTGTACCGTTTTTTATTTATTTTACCTAAAGAGAACAAGAGTAGACATGCCCTTCTTGGTAGGACCTGCTCAAGGGTCTTCCTGAGAAGGATTAAGGGCAGCTAGGTGGAGCAGCGGACAGAATGCTGGGAGACTCACCTCCCTGAGTTCAAATCCAGCCTCAGACACTTCCTAACCAGGTGACCCTGGGCAAGTCACTTCGCCCCGTTTGCCTCAGTTTCCTCATCTGTAAAATGAGCTGGAGAAGGAGACAGAAAACCACTCCAGTATCTCTGCCAAACAGACCCCAAAAGGGGTCACGGACAGTCAGACACAACCAAAACAACTGAACAACGACCTAATTCTAATCTGCAAGGCCGAGGACTCTCTTCCAAGGCTAATCCCTAATTTTCAAGTAGTCCTTAGGCCCTGAGAATCTCTGTCCCCTTCTCAGGGTCTCAGTTTCCTCCTCAGCAAAATGAGGGTGTGGGGTGTGAGGAGGGCTCAGGCCTTAAACCTTCTACGAGTCTATGAAATCCCTGAGGAGGAGGGAATGAGTGACTGCCCCTCCCTCCTACATCCAAGCATAGAAGGCGAATTAGTCATAAAATGGGCCAGCCGCAGGAGAGGAAGGTGCTGGCAAGGGAGAGGCAGAGAAGTCACCGCTTGCTCAGGAGAGAGGTCTGAGGGCAGGAGGCTGGAGGGAGAAACCTGGGCCTTGGGCTGGGGCCGGGGTCCACAGGAGGGCAATGCCACTTAGGGCCATTGTATGGAAGCTCTGGGAATTAGTACCTTTCTTTTCTGTTAGAGAAACATGAAATCTCCAAATGCCTTGCTTTTCAAATGAAAACCAGGAAACAGAAATTGTATTCAAGAAATACTCAACTCAAAAATAAAACAGTAACAGTAAGCCTCCACAGTGCCAGCTCTAGAGCCCTTCAGAGTATGGGAGGAGGGAGGGGAGTTGAGGAGGCAGGAGGCAGCAGGGGAGGATGGAGAACCTGAGAAGGGCTCAGAGGCGGCGTCCAGGAAGCGGGGCAGGGACTGCTATTTCTATGGTAGGCCTGTCCACAGTGGCGCCTGGCACATAGTAAGGGCTTAAGAAACGCTTGCTGACTGACTGGCTGAATTGTAGGATTGGGAGCCTCAGTCTTCTTCATCTGTAAAATGGTGCACCTTCGAGTTCATATAACCCACCTCCTCATTTTGCACATGGGAATCGTAAGAGCGCCCATGGAGAGGCCTTTACAAGTCACTTGATCCAGGCTCCTCAGGTGACACGGCTCATCCCAGGACCCCCAGGAAGGAAGAGCAGGGCTGACAGTGCAGTGCCTGACTCCAGACTTGGCGCTCTCTCACCACGGAATCCTGCTGCCGTGCAGAAGCTGCGGGCTGATGTCCTGGAGCCGCTGGGTGACCCTGCGTCCCTCCTGTCGCTCTCTGGCCCTGGGCTTCCTCATCCTCATGCACAGATACTTTTCCTGCCTACATCCCACTGAGCCACCAGGAAGCTGGGACAGAGCGATCTCTAGGTTAATGACCCATATGTGCTATATAAATGATGGCATGTACGGAGGGAGGGGAGAAGAAGCACAGAAAGCCGGGCTGGAGGCCAGGTTCACAGACTACACCCTGCAAAGGGTGGGGTGGGAAAGGGGAGGGGACCCAGTTTCTAATCCCAGCATCTGGGAGATTTTTGGAAAGGGTGGCACTTAGTACCCAGGGGACTTCCCTGGGCCTCAGTTTCCTCCTCCATAAAATAGAGAGGTTGGACTCATGCCCTGGAAGTTCCCTTTCAGCTCTGAATCTGTGAATCCTTCCAGGCCCACCCACTCCAGCCTTCCCCACAAAGCTTCATCAACTGCCCTATAAAAGTGTCCTCACCTGTCAGCTGCTGAGGAAGGGGACCCTGGGCTCAGCCTCAGGCTGCCTGCCTCAAAGGAAGAGGGCCCAGGCTCCCTGGGAGTCCTACCCAGTGAGGATGTGATGGGAAGGGCCACAGAAAGACCTTAAGCACAGCCTTGTCTGGCCTCCCCCCAAATCTCAAATGCCTTCCTCCCACCAGGGTGGCGCAGTGGGTAGGGCCATGGGCTTGGGGAAAGGAAAGCCTGAGTTCATCTCTCCATCTCAGACACGTAGTGGTTATATCACTGCCCAGCCTCAGTTACCTCATCTGTAAAACGGGGATAATAACAGTCATCCTCCCTCACTGGGTTGTTGTGAGGACTAGAAGGGGTAACATGTGTAAAGGTTTTGCAAACTTTAAAGCCCCACGTAAAATATCGACCAGCAGCAGAACCTTCTGCAGAAGCACTTTGAGTCAGGAGATGCGGATTCGAATCTTCCCTCCTGTCACAGCTCCCCAGGGCTATCTCAGCAGCCTCCCTGGCCTCCCTGCCTCTCCAGGCTTAGCGTCCCCTACAGCCTCCACGCATCATTATTCCTAGAGCACAGAGCTGACCCGCTCACTCCCCAACACAAGAGATTCCAGTGGCTTTCTACTGCCCCGGGGATGAAAACAAGCTCCTTTGTTGGACACTGAGAGCCCTTGACAGTCTGGCCCCGCCACCATTCCAGGCTTCTGACATATCGCTTACCCACCAGATGCCAATCTACCAGCCAGGCCGGCTTACGTCTGTTCCTCGCCTATGACATTCCATCTACCCCGTAATTGGAAAGCCTTTCCTCCTCACCTCCACACCTCCACACCTGAAAATCCCTAGCTCTGGCACAAGGGCCATCTCCCACGCCCAGGCTTTTCTTGGTGTCCCTCATTGCTCGGACCCCTGGAAATGATTTTGTATTTACTTAGATGGTGCTTTTCCAAGAGAGAAAAAATGGTTTCATTTTTATCTCTATCCCCAGTACCTGACACACAGTCCCTGCTACAGTCTGGAGATCTCCCAGGGAAGGGGAACAGAGACACACACTCTCCAGACAGACACAGACACTTTCAGGTGATAGCCGGGACCTGGAGGCCTTTTTTCACGAAGGATGACCCTCGGCAGCAGAGAAGAGAGCTGATCGTGGATTTCAGCAAGACGCAGCTCTGGCCGTGCAGAGGAGTAGGCTGTTAGAGCCCAGCCACCGTGCTAGCAGAGATACTGAGCCTGACGGACAGCCGCAAGGCTCAGCAGCCACAGAAGGACCTGCTCGCCTCACTGGGTGTGTGCACTGAGTTCATACACACTCTTCCCACAGACACTGTGGCTATTCCTGGAGGGTGGGCCCCAGCCCTGTGGAGGGAAGGCTTCATGATTACTGGTCTCCCTAAGTTCTTTGTCTTGAGCTAAACGTGTTTACCGGAAGTAACCCAGTGAGCTATAGTTTTAGGAGCCTGGACCCCAAAAGTACACTCTTAAACCTGGGAACACTTACCCCTCTGAGGACCCAACATGAAAATCTGTGACAGTCAAAGGGCGCACATAGAGCGCCGAATGTCAGAGCCGAGAGGGACCTTAAAGGCTATCTGCTTCAAAATCCTCCTTTGAGAACTGCTCATGATTGCTGGCATGTATAGAGAATTTTATGAACATTATCTCATGTGAACCTCACATCAACTCTGAGGTGTGGGTGCTATTATTTTACAAATGAAGAAACTGAGGCAGACAGAGGTTAAGTGACTTAGCCAAAGTCACACATTTAGTAAGAGTGTGAGGCTGGACAAGCACTCGTGTCTTCCTGACTTCGGGCCCAGGGCTCTATCCACTGCACCTGCCTATCGACCCCACATTTTACAGAGGAGGAGCGGGGAGTTGGAAGCGAGTTCAAGATTACATGATCCAGAGTTCAAGACCCAAATGAATTGATGCTGAATGAAGAGGGCAGAACCAGGAGAACGCTGCACGCAGTAACAGCAACATTGTGCGATGAAGACCTGGGAACGACTTAGCTCTTCTCAGCAGTGCATCAGTGAGGAACTGAGGACGCATTGGAATCCGTGTCTTCTGACTCCTGAGCCACTACTGCTCCTGGCTAGCAGCAGCCTTCTAATGGTGCAAGTGAAGGCAGGAGATGTGGGTTGGAGGCCCCAGCCCTCCCATTCACTGGGTGTGCTGGGTCCCAGCCTGCCAGGGTGGGACCGGATCGTGCAATATCAGAATGGCAGAGCTGGAAGGGACCAGCAGCAAACAGAGGCTCAAAGAGAGCCCTTCGAAGCCTTGACGTTTTATGATTCTCTGAAGAGCTGTCGTGGGGAAGGAAGATTCTGCTTGTTGTCCTCTGCCCCAAAGGGAGCGCTAGGAGCAAAGGGTCTGGAGGAAGATTTTGCCTCAGAAATAGACGGAAAAATTTCCCAACACCTTGAGCAGTCAGAAATGGCATTGAAGGTCTATATCCCAAAGACATCCAAAAAAAAAAAAGGTAAAGGACCTATTTGTACAAAAATATTTCTAGCAGTTCTTTCTGTGGTGGCTAAGATTTGGAAATCAGCACCAGCTAGGGAATGGCTACCCAACCTGTGGTATGTGATTATAATGGAATATTATTGTTCCATAAGAAATGACAAGCAGGATGATTTCAGAAAAACCTGGAAAAGACTTCCATGATCTGATGCTGAATGAAGTGAGCAGAACCAGGAGAACACTGCACACGGTAACAGCAACATTGTTCCACAAAGAACTGTGAATGACTTAGCTCTTCTCGGCAATACGACGATTCAAGACAATCCCAAAGGACTAATGATGAAGCTTGCCATCTGCCTCCAGAGAAAGAACTGATACTGTTTGAATAAAGATTGAAGCAGGCTATTTTTCACTTTCATTTTTTTCTTTCATTCGAGTCTTCTTGTACAAAATGACTAATATGGAAATGTTTTATATAATTGCACGTGTATAACCTATATCTCCTTACTATCCCAGAGAGGGGGCAGGGATACATTTTGGAACTCAAAACTTTAAATAAAAATGTAAAAAAAAAAAAAATAGAGAGT